GCCTAGTTCTTTGTCCTTACCCATAATTCTGCTTGAACAAAAGTCCAACTTGTGATCCAACGAAATGGTAGGTACTAGGTACTCAATATTGTTTTGTTGGTTTACTATCGGTTCATTCCTTTCTGGTATTATACTGCAACTGTGAAGAAGGCGATAAAAATGACCACAAAAAAGTTGGCATTAAAAATTTTTAATACAGAGTAGTGTACTTAGCTCCGACATATCCTGGACTTTTTTCAAATTTTGTTAATTTATGTTGAGTTACGCACAATTCATTTGCAGTTCTGGTTGGATAATAATGAAAGACTGAGTTTCTCTTGAATGAATGTATGTTTTCTTTTACATAACTTAATGTTTTATAGATATATATGCAAGGAAAAGTCAATATTTTCTTGCCAATAAGTATAGTCTTGTAGCTATCTTCGGATTTCATACTGAACATAAGCCTCAGGATGCGTTTTTGGCAGAAAAAGTTCTTTCAGCATTAGTGCAATCTCCCCATAGAATGACACTGTATGTGAGGTGGCAGTTTACTAGTGAATAGTACACGTCCAATAGAACGGTTTTGCCCATTGTTTTTTTTAGCTTCAGTATAGCAAAGAATTCAGAATTAATTTTTTGTGTATGTGTTGAAGATGGTTGTCCCATAATGTATATTGATCTAGGTAGAGTCCTGAGAATTTGGTCGGTTCTGAGTCCTGAATTATGGCAAGAGAAGAACTGGGACTGTTTCTTCTGCACTTAAATTGAATATATACAGTTTTCCAATGTTCACTATCAAATTATTAGCATGGCAACAGTTTCTGAAAGAGTTTATGACTTCATTTACAGTATTTTCCAGTTCCTTCAGGGTCTGTGCAGAGGCCACCACCGAATAATCGCCTGCAAATATTGTGACTTGTCCATTCGTGATATGGTCGGGCATATCATTGACGAATATTAAGAATAGTAGTGGTCCCAACACTGACCCCTGCGGAACCCCGATATCCACGAAGTAGGTTTCAGAACATTCATTTTCCGCCATTTTGTAGTAGTTGAAGATATTGACATTATATTCTAGGGTTGTGAAGCATTTGTCAGGATCTTCAAAAAGATGTGTCACAAGATCCCCCTTTCCATTTAATTTTTTCCCAGATGGCGCCCAGTCGCCATTATGAAAGTTTCATCTGTCAATTTCACTTCAAAATAAAGTATTCATGCATTAATTTCATTATCCCTAATTTCAGTTTTTTGAGTCAGTTTTTTGAATCGAACATTTACTACATAACCAATACAGAACAAATCATTTAAAAATCGAATCAACCCAACTACCAATTTTTATGGGATCAAACTCACCTTGCTTTCAGACATCCAAAGTGCTCCACTTTGCTGTTTATCAATTATTTCCCTGACTTTTCTATACCATGTGTCCGTGTTGTCATTTAAAGTTATCATGGCACTGAAAACATGGCTCCATACTTTGTCGAGTTTTTGGCACTGTTCCAGTAGTTTTTTGGAACTTTTATGGGCCGATCTAAAACAATATAATGTTGAAGAACAAATGACAATTACTAATATAATTTCTTGATACTATCATTTTACAGAAAACAATTATAAAATGTATGGTCAAAGCTCATTATCAAGCGAGATGTACATCAATATTTAAAAGACTGTCCATTCTGACCTTGCCTTGTATGAATATATATTTGATAACCAGCAACATCAAAAAAATAAAAGCAATGACATGTGAGAGGAAATACTATACATGAGTATACCAGTCGTAATGCAAGTGAAATACGTTCTTTCCCGTCTAGGCCTAGCACAAAACTCATTCACATGTCTGGGTATCACGTGTTATAACCAATGTGTAAAATTAATTGGTGAAATTAATTTTGAAGTTTTCAAAAAGACACTCTAAGACTTTTTAATTAATCATGAGTTTTAATTAATCATTCATTTATGTGTATGTGTATGGTTGTTTATGTTATATGTAACTGATTAGTCTGATGAGTTTTGATACTGTGCTGCACTGTATAGAGCTTCATGGATGAATGAAAATTTTCTGTCTATATTCATAAGAGGAGTCGTCTTCTCAAAAGCGGGGTACCTTATGAAACCGCCTTGCACCAAATTCTTGAGCAGCGTACACAGAATCTGTCCCAGGTGGAGGAACAAACCCCCTTGCACGAAATTTTCGAGCAGCGTACACAGAATCTGTCCCAGGTGGAGGAACAAACCCCCTTGCACCAAATTTTCGAGCAGCGTACACAGAATCTGTTCCAGGTGGAAGAAGAAACCCCCCCCCGTGAGCAGGTTAGCAAACGTTTGCGCTCAAGTGATGATTCACCAAAACCAGAGGCGAAAAAGCCCTGCACGGTTGAATCTAAGGCATCGTCAGGTGTAGCTGACGTGCAAAAACCCTCATATGGGAAGGTTGTCGCGGGTATCAAGGTGGGAATCTTGCACCTTGACTATTTGACTACCTTATGAAACAGCAAACCCTGATTCGGTCCCTGCCCTGCTAGGGACCGAATCAGGGTTTTAGAGTATGGCTCCGCCGTACTCTTACCATCTAACCTGAAAGACTACTCATCATACAAACTAATCGGCTTCATTAAGAAGCTGGGTTTATTTGGTCGAGTGTGAGCCACAATAAACCCTTGCGGGTTGCAGTGGAGGGTCAAATAGACCCACTCACTTTGGACCTAACCCTAACCTAACCTTGTTGAGAATATAATATAATCTACTTACTTAGGTAGACCCTGCCTGAGCTGTTTTATCACAATTTTCGTGTCTGCTTTGAAAAACACCACGATGGGATACATCTGCGCATAATTCAATCTTTCAACTGCATTTGGGGTTATGTCTAACAAAGCATGTTTTCCAGTTGAAATCACATCTCGTATGGCTGACAATCTGATGATATTCGAGTTTGTAGATGTTTTGTGTGACTTACTGCTGGTCTCTTCTGCAGTGGCATCTAATTCTGAAAAAAAAGTTGCTGATCTGGTGGAACTAGTCCATAGTATGAAACTTACGAGGAGAAATGAATTTATCCGGAAAATCTTTGAGCAGTTTCTCTCTAGCCACATCGGCAATTGGTCCGAATAATATCACAGGTCGAGTAAAACCGGGGTGCTTGAGCAGCACCCTCTCGTATGCTGGGAACTTGGAAACAGTATCTGAGAACAATATGTCATCCCAATGTTCCTTCCCCAAGCTCTTTGATCTTCTGTTTGAACTTCTCCGCCGTTTGAAGAAGCTTCCTCTAGATTCGTTGGCTGACATTTCTTTCTTCGTTGCATTGAACTGAGCCGTAGCGAGTTCTTCTGCTCGGGATTTGTTTGGTATAATTCCTTTTTGAACTTCCTGATTATTCCTTCCTACAAAAAAATCATGACATTTTTGTAGAGTCATAAAAAGTCTATTTTTTATGTCTTCCAGTGGAAGACTCTTATAAAATTCCAACAAAGATGAATTTTGATATTTGTTCTTAAGCACCATAAATCAATAATTTCCGTTTGGACTTCCGGAGCCAGGGTTTCAATGTCAGAATCAAAAGGATTTTGAAAAAGCTTAATTTCATTCGCAATGACATCAAAATCTGAAAAACGAGTNAGCGTACGTTTGCTTAGGTCACGCACTTTGCGACTATCCTAGTCTAGAAATATAGTTAAGGGCAGAAATTGGCCCTTGGAACAAACTAAAAAAATCGTTATGACCCGAAAGCTTCAAAGTTTGGAGATCCCTGCTCTAGTCTCATGAATCGTGGAAATAACAATTTCAGTTTAGAAGGTACTGTCATTATTTTCAGCGAAAGAAAATGAGGTCCGCAGGAGTCTAAGAAACCAGCCCCAGATAATATCCTTACAGCCTTTTTTTGTAACATAAATATCCTATTTGCGTTAGTACTATTTCCCCAGAGAATTGTTCCATATGACAGGTGATAATGGAAAGAAGCGTAGTAAGCTGATAATAGTGCCTGTTGAGAGATTATATCTTATTTCCAAAGAGGAAATGTGTATTTCAACAGTATTGTGAATTTTTCTTGTTCCTTCAGCGGTAGGACCGTGCATGCTGTCTGTCGGATATAAATTAATGTCCAGCATGGCATTAGCCAGGGAACTAGTTGTTTTTCGGCAGGCATCTACCAGAACCTACTGTGTAGGTAAGTTGGGAGAGATAAATATTTCAAAATTTTATTTCAAAATGTTTATTTTCTTGTACCTATGTATCTCTTCTCAATACAGTTTTTAGACTTGTTTTGACACTTATTTTTACTAGGATTTATATGACAATTAAAGACTGAAAATGTTTTTCAGAAGAAGATAAGTTGTTTTCATTTTTCAACTATTTTGTTGTAGGTAAATGTAGGTAATTATTTTCAGACAAATACATGTGCCAAAAACACGTGTGACGTCAGAAGGCTCTATAAGACAGTGGCATCGGATTGTGAATACTTGTGTGTAGATTTAAAAGGAAGATATTTTTTAGGGGAGATTAGTAGAGAGAAAAAATGTATTTTCCAATAACTTGTGTGCACTTTCGAAATTAAAAACATCAGAATTGTTGTCACTAAAGGTCCTGTTTTTTTTGTGGAAAATACGTGTTTTTCGTAGAAGTACTTCACTAATTACATACCAAAGTTCTTACCTATTCTGAAAACTTGCCAGCATCCAACAACACCATTGTACAATGTATCAATAACATGAAAAATATCACCAGATCGGAAAGGCACTTCTCCTTTGGCGGGACTATCATAATGGAAATGTGTTTTAATATAGAAACTATCACCCTTTTGCGAAGCAACTATGCCGTCATATTCTTCTTTGCAAAACTGCACAATCAATTCAATTCTATCTTGCAAACTCAGAAGGAAAAGCACAGCTTCTTCTCTCGTGACCCCAGTCATGTCCATGTCATTAACCTACAAATTAGAGGAACCAAATTACTGACAAATGACAAAGGCTATGGTGGCTGTTTTCACCTTTAATATTTTGTCTCCAGGTTGCAGTCCTTGAAGAGAAGCAGGACTTCCAGGTTGGACAGCAGTCACGAATATGCCGGCAAAGTTACCACCAGTCAGTCTTATTCCTACAGATCCTTCCTTGTGGAATGTGATGAATCTTGCGTCAGGTCTGTAACGATTATGTTTGTTAGGTGAATTCATAATTTATCAAAACATCGATGTAGTGCATTAACTGATGATGCAAGATCGTCATGTGACATATTGTGAGATAGAGGCACCCTTGCACATTAATTCTACTTCATTACATACGATTTTGCATCAACACTTAGTTGTGAAAAAAATTGTTCTCGTTGGATACCCCATAATTTATCAGTTACTCAAAAAAAGGCTCGCGTCAAGTGGGGTAAGGAAATGATAAAAAAGTTCGACCGTGGTGCTTCAAAAGACGTGCATAAAATCGTGACAGGTATGCGTATGAGCCGGAAACAAAACAGCAATCACACTGTGTGGGTATTTCAAGACGAGCTAAATTCAACAAAAGTTGTTCGTGGAAGAGGCACAGTGAAGCAAATGGTCACCTGTTCAGCCGAATGGGTCATTAATTTCTCTAAATGAGCCTGAAATATGTGCCTATGCAAAACGTCAACAAGCTGAGTTCATTTCCGATAGCACATTTAACTAAAGTCAAAGAAGAATATGCTACTGTAGCTTCTGTTATGAAAAAAATCAAATATTATGAACACAAGAGGCTCATATGTTTAGATCTGAAATCTTCTAAAGGATTAAATCTTTCACAATGGTGTGACAAGTTTGTTTAGCTGAAAGACCCTTTTATAGTTTACAGCAATAAGCAAGGGATTCATTGCAATAATTATTATAATTCTAAGTAGCTGTTTCTTGTCTCTTTTAACAATAGGTTTTGAAGCTTTCTAAACAAATGAAGCACATTTATGATTATCAAATTGTGTAATGATCGAATTTTGATTCTGAATTAATTTTTTTTTCATTGTTTATGTAGCAGTTTTGATTGTTTCCGTCTCATAAACATGTTCTGTTTCTTGAGAAAGAAATGCTTCATTGCTATTATACTTACATGGGTTGCTTTGTCTTTTGGATGATTGGATCATCTTCATAAATTTGTCTTCTACTACTGTAATAATCTGAAATAAAAATGAAACAAACTTCAAATTGATTAAGTGTAATTTTTAACAGAATTTATATGATTTTAGCTGTTACAGTTGAAAGATATTTGTGGAGAACTCAAAATAACTACATAATCACCTACAAACTTTTTTATAATTGGCCTAAAAGCGTAGCAGCATTCTTTACTCATAGAATAGAATAGAATAGAATTTATTTGTCATTAAAAATGTTACAATTGCAATGCATTACATATATCTACTCATACCTGAGTAGGAAGCCAACTCTTGCTATTTTTCATAAAACAAATTCGTAAATTTAAAGAGGGAAAGAAAGCATAGCAGCAGGGGCGGCTTTACTCATATAATAGAATAGAATATATTTGTCATTAAAAATGTTACAATTGCATTGCATTACATAACACTTATAAAATTTTATCAAACTAGTCAAACGTGAGCACTAGGCTATTTATAAAATATAATTAGACACATACATGTATATTACAAAAATAACTTATTGACTTATCAAGTCCATAGTATATTAATTTTAGCACTTCCATCGAGACAGTCCCACGTAATTGTTTTATTATAAAACATATGCTGCTCAGTTTTGTTACTATATTTTCTATTTGTGCTTCCCATGTTAGTTTTTGATTGATGGTTAGACCTAAATATTTGAAGCGACTTACATGCTCAATGGACTTGAAATGAAAATACAATAAAACAAATGAAATAATCAAGATAAAAGATGAAAATCAATAAAAATATGTAAAAAATAAAAAAAATTACAAAAAGATTTCAAACCAAGTTATTTCACGCTTTGATTGTTAGTATCCATAATCGTCTTCAGGTGACTATATCTCCGAGAGATGACTATAGGTAGTTTGAGCGCTTTCAACTATCCCCCTCTCTCCGTTTCACTGGTTTAGCAAAAGTTGACCGTTCAGCGGAAATTGACTCATTTCATACATGATTAAAGGTTTCCATATGTTGCGTATCTATACGCTAGCTTGGCTGATGCGTCGTTGGATAACATATGTGCAGCTTCTTTGAACTTCCTCTTGAACCATTGTTCCTCCCTATGGTTCCTCAGCTTGGGACCACTTAATGTTATGTTGATGAGTCCAAACATGCTCCCCTTCCCTAGTTCTCGCTGTGTGTTTCTCTTGTGCTAAGCAATGCGGACTTAGTTTCACCGATACAGGATTTGCCGCACTCACAGGGAATGCGGTAAATGCAGTTCTTGGAATCGCAGTCTGCATTTGGTGTCCTAGTTTTCATGAGATCGGTAAGGATGGTGTTTCCGTATCTGAAGCAGGTTCTGATGTTATACTTGGACCCAATTCTTTTCATCCTTTTCGACAATATTCTGACGTAGTGAAGGGCCAGCACTGGTTATGACAGTTTCTCAGACTTCTAGCTGAAGTCTGTTCAACAATCACTTTGGAGTAACCATTTCAATGAAGATCTTCTCTGATGATACCTAGTTCCTTCTCGAGACCTTTCCTAAAAATACTTTCTACTCGTGTATAGACGGCGACAGGCCAATCTATCAAAACATGTCAAATTTCGACGTGAGTAACCTGATCGAGTTCACTCTGTACGTAGTTTCGTGACAAAACATCGATATTAAGCTTACGACAACGCATTTCAGCAAGATTCGGAGTTTATCCATTGTGTTGTAGGCACTTATTCCAATTTGATTGCACACGGGCTCTACATGGGCTAAAGCAGTCTCTGCATAGCAGAAACAATGGAGAATGTTCCTCCTGACGAAAATCAAGTAGTTTTCATAAAAGAGCTCTAAAACAACGCATTTTAAATTTATCATTTCAACCGTTTTCTTTAAAAAATTATTTAAAAACTTAAAAAAGAGGAATGAAATGATGCATTCAAAATTCAAAGGGATTCGTTTCTATTTCACTATTTGGCAACATCGGATATAGCTAATAAAGGACAATGAATCTGTTAACTGTATGAGACAAACGAAGATGACATATTTCAGAGGCGTGCTTGTTCTGTTTGCTTATGTTCCGAGTTCCGAGACATTCCGTGACATATGACATTTTGTGCACCTAACCTATTTTCCTCTATATAAATAAATAACAAAACAACTGTTGTTTATGTGGCTTGTGAAGGTGGTATTAAACTATAATTTATATTTTGCCTTGTAATAACCCAAATTGAGGAACATTCCCCATTGCAAGCAAGCTATTTTTTTATAACAAACGTATAATAAAATGACTCATTTTATTTTTTTTGTTAGAATGGATTATGCATAGAAAGTTAACGTGAAGTATATCAATAGGTTCACCTTCTGCTCTTGGTGGTGGCGGTCTTGGAGGTTCTTCTCTTGCTTTCACGAGCCCGTAACCAGCAATGCTATTTCTATTACCTTCCAACTGACCAAGATTAGAATCCGAAAGAGGGCCCCTGGATCTGCCACGTGGCGCTAAGTTACTCTTCTCATCTGGCAACGAATTCGGACCACTGTTTTGATCCAGTTTTTCCTCGAAACTACCATTTTGATTCAAATTCGGATTTCTAGTCGGTGGCTGGACGTAAAGGTTTTGATTGGAGTAACTTTGATGACCTGCAGTTAGAAAATCATCGCCTGAAAACAAAAAAAATTCTTATCAGACTATCTATGTAACAACAAGTGTCATTTGTACTTTCATTATTCTCATTAAAACTTTAAATAACACTCAGTAAATTCCTGGTGTGACTGTTTGTGTGGAGGTCTTTTTTGGAGTATTCGTTCATCACAAACAATAATTTTCAAATGAAGAAATACATGTAAAGTGAGTTAGAATTATATCAAGGAGGTTACATACAGCGCCATCTACCCGCGAATAGAGCAAGCAATATTATCGATAATTCTGTCAAATACAGATTCCGAGCTTGAGAGTTACAAACAAACATATATACAGGTGAAGCTAATTAAAACGTGTTAAAAAAAGACAAATATCTGATCTACCTTTGTAAAAATTATTAACAGCTCCTGTCGTACTGATTGAACTCTGTGCCTGATGAGATACATTGGAGTTCAGTCCGAATTCCCTAGCGACTGTAATATGTAGTTTATCCTTGGAACCGTCTATGATTTTCTTAGCCTCCTTCAATGACATCATATCAGTACAATTCGTGTTATTGAGTTTCGTCAGAAAATCTCCCACTTCTAGAGACTGGTTGGTGTTCATCAGTTGATCTCTCGCTTTCGGGGAAATTTCTTTTATGAATAGCTTGCAACCCAAAACGATTCCAAAATCTAAAATAAAACAAAAGCATTCAGGACCACATCAATACATTATTTATGAGTCGCCAGGTGGGGATAGCTTGATTATGAGAAAAATACACTAAAACTATGGGTTTGTGTAAGTTTGTACAAGAAAATTCTTAAAAGTTTCATCAATTTTTTTCCATAAATGAAATATCATGAATTATGTTGAACTATATCCAATTTTTTTCAGTTGCGAATTCCAGTGAAAAACTATGGAATATATTTTCCAAATGAAGCAGCTTATCAAGTGGAATATCGATACTAAATGGTATTGGTATCAGCTACTTTTTTCAATTTATAATATAAGTAGGAACCTCTGGTTTCAAATTCATTTACTGAAAACATTTTTCCCACATCAGAACAAAACAATGTCTTTCGATGTTCATTTGGCTAACCTAATCAGCATCATCGAGAGGACTAGGACTGAATTTTATGGTTATCTTAATGTTTTCATATAAACCTGAATGAACCTGAAACTTACTGTCCATCATTGAAATGATTCCTAGTACATATTGTGTTACATTTTTATTGTTCCTACCCGTAATAATACCGAAATTTCACCTGTTTTTTACCTACTTATAATGGGGAATGTTCCTCCTAACGAAAATCAAATAGTTTTCATGAAAGAGCTCTAAAACAACGCATTTTAAACTCATCATTTCAACCTTTTTCTTTAAAAAATTATTTAAATACCTTAAAAAAAGAATGAAATAATGCATTCAACATTTAAAGGGATTCGTTTCTATTTCACCATTTAGCAACATCGGTTATAGCTAATAAAGGACAATGTATGTATGAGACAAACAAAGATGACATATTTCAGATGCTTGCTGTTCTGTTTACTTATGTTCCGAGACATTCTGTGACATATGACATTTTGTGCACCTAACCTATCTTCCTCTATATAAATAAATAACAAAACAACTGTTGTTTATGTGGCTTGTGGAGGTGCTATTGAACTATAATTTATATTTTACCCTAATTGTTGATTTATAAAGATACCTTTCCTTTTTTAAAGTAGAATATCTAGGTACGTATAAATTATTTCCACTTGATATAGGCGCTGTTGCCAATATGTGAATTAGAAACAAATCCCTTTAAAAATTAAAACCCAACATTTTGAAACACCAATTTGAATACTACTTTTCGAAGTGAATTTGAAAAAGTCATGAATTAAACTCAACTTTATTTTGTTCAAACTTACATTTGCTGTAATAACCCAAATTGAGGAACATTCCCCATCATTATATCACTGTTCATAGATCTAATTCCAATTATTTTTAAACTTTCAGAGGCATCTAAAAACCTGTTGACATGTACAGTCTGTCTAACAGTCTAAGGCATGTTGAGTGCCACTAGACTTCTCTGGTCTATGAAACCGATAATGTGAAACATGCTTTTTGCAGAGAGTTATTGTAGTCCGCTTAGTATGACCAACATTCTTTTCCTCCCAATCCTCACAGTTAAAATTGCGAGAGCCACTTTCATATGGGTTTTGGATCATATGGGATAATATACTATGACGAATCCGAAGCCGCCCCTGACCGATAGGCCAGTCGGTTCATCGAAAAAACACATGACCCCACCGCGATTGCAACCGCCGGTAAAACTCTAGTCAAGTACCGAACCCTCTACAATATTCTCGAAAGGAACTTTACCGATATAAGCCCGTCTTCCCGATGCAAGAGGGCAGTTCAGAAAGTGAATCGAGCGGCCAAACAAGAAATTCAAATAGTGGAAATAAATTAAGGGTTAGTTGCTAAGTGTAGTTTGTGATTAGTGAAATATTGTTGGAAATTTTGGAAATATTGTTGGAAATTTGTTTGAGACAGTTAATTTATTAATTTGTTACACTTTACTGCACACATTTTTCAGATATAATTATCAATTATGCCACGAGTGCGGTCGGTAGTTTTTGAAACAAGAGAAAGCTTTTTTTGAGTTACAACCATCAATTGAAGCACCTTTAGCCATGTGTGACAACCAGAAGTCAGGAAGAAGTTCCACATTAAGGCCCTCTATTCCAACAAAAGACCCTGATCTAGTACATCCGATAACAATTTGACTTGTAAATAATATAAATGTAGTTTCCCGCTTAGAAGAAACAGTTTCAAATGTATAATGAAACGATTTGAATACTTTGTGGGCTTACGAAACATTTTTCAACTGGTACTAAAATAGTAGTGTACATAACTCAAATATTAACATAAAAAAAATCACAATGTGGGTCTTGAGCTGTATATAATTTCAATAGAGATCACCCATACCTTCTTTTTTCGAATTTTTAGTGAGCGTAACTTTGGCAGGTACAGCATTGTTGATCCCGAGTGCAGGCAAGGGAGGTCCATTGAATGACGCACTATGACTGTGACTATGATTGTGCTGTATGGTTCTTCTTTTAATTACTAATGTCACAGTGTCTCCTGAATCCCGAAGTACTTGTACTGCAGTAGCATAGTCCACGTTCTGTAACGATATTCCATTGACGGATATTATTCTGTCATTAACCCTAAAAAAAAAATGAAAGTAATGAGTTCAAATAATTCAGTAGGCACTCACAATGAAAAAATTCATTTGTTTTCGAAACGAATCAGTAATTTAAATGTGCGGAAACCATTCTAGCGATTTTGATGACATTTTTGTGAAAAGTCAACGTAAAATAGCTTGAGGCTGAGGGCACGAAACTGGCGAAGGCCAAGCGATGGCGGAACGGTGGCGATGTATACAACAACATCTACAGTATAGGTGACGCGCACGAAACGAGCGGTGGCGGAGTGGAGAGATGCACGGGCGGAAGGACAGCGACGGCGGGGCGGAAGCGACGAGAATAAACTACAGCTTGTCAAACCTAGGAAGAGACTTGAGAAATCATTCTCTCTCTTCTCTCTCTCTCACACTGTCTCCTAAAGAACACGGATCTAGTGGGAGACGCCATAACGGAATTTAGAAAGCTCTTCTTACATTTGACAAGCTGTAGTGTGATTATGTCGCTAACGATTACAGTAGTGTCGTGTAGAAAAATATCATAATACAAATACCAAATGGAAATTGATAATGAAGAATTTATCTCATGTATTTTGTCAAAACCTGCCCTATGGGACAGTAAAAATGTTCACCTTAGCCCGTAATAAAGTGTGGAAAATTCGCCAAAATTACTTCTTTCTTCATTTATTGAATGAACACCATAATAACTACGTCTTCATCAATAGTTCCTACGCAAGTCATCATCGCTCGGCCGTCGCTATTTTCGTGGCCCCAGCCTAAGTCTATCAAAGATGAATGATATAAATATGACTCAAAAATAATTAACATTTTTCAATTTCTAATGATGATAGTGATTTTTTTCTATTGCGAGCAGCTACATCTGAGATTCATTAACATAACCATAACGTTTTCACACAAGCTGTTAGTGAAATTATCATTTTTAATCGGTATATACTTACTGGAGGAGACGTTCTGCCGGGCCAGACGCTAAAACATCGCTAACGGCTATACTGGGATCCCCAGAAGCAAAATGCGGATTGTCTCGCCCTCCAGAAACAGCAATTCCAAAACCATATCCTGGAACCCTCGTCACGCATATTTGTTTGTATTCCCATCCTCTTTCCTGAAACCAAAAATAAAATTATTACAATGAATCCCTGAATCATTAGGTCGGTCGGTAGCCGAGCGGTTCAACGTGGGTGCTTTGTTCACTCAGTCAATCGGCCGATGTGTGAATCGATGGTTCAAGCCCCAGGCTGAACGCTCGATTTTTCACTTGCTATCATCCAACTCGTGTTAGGAATCACACGTTAAAAGGTAAGACCTGGTTAATCCTGAGCTTTCCCAGTTAGGTTTCGTCGGTCGCTAAGTAAGGTTTCGACGTTCCACCGTTTCACATATTCAGGTGTATAGTGGCTGGTTTTTTGATTCTCGGAGACTACATTTATATTCTCGTGGCTGATAAATTATAAGACGCTAATGGCATTTTAATGATTTTGTTTTGTGAGTTTTTTCTGTTTCATTGAAATTGTTCTTAGGCTCATGAATTTCAACGGATTTTGTGTATAACCTGGCATGATAAGCAGATGTAGCTGCTAAAACTTAGGAACAAGAACTACTTGTGAGAAACAAAGTCAGACTCGAGTTTTTTAATCAACCAATTATATTTTCAATGATTTTATAAATTGTTTCCGAAGTTGATCAATTTTTTGGTGAAATGTTCAACATTTACTAACATTTACATCAAAAACTGACGAATTATATTACAAAACTGACTAAAATAATGATTTCTCCTTCATATTTTATTTATTAGTGACCGATTACATTATTGTTTCCCTTTTATCAGGCCGAAAACTCTTTCAACTCTTAGGGGATTCTTTCCCATTATTGTCAATTTATCTGAGAGGTACATCAATGTTTTTTTTCTTCTACTATTTGTCACAAGTTGTTTTATTTAAGAACTGTAGCAAATACAATACTCTTAATAAGAATATTTGATAAGATTAGCAAGTAAATTTCATATCATATCAGTGATATCAATCTTCTGCTTTGTTTGAAATACCCCACTTTTCACATACAAATACTTCAATAATAAATAATCAAAACAATGTCTCACTTCATTCGTATTCCTAATTTGCCGTGAAATTTTAGAGAGGTACAATGTGGGATGATTACTGTAAATTCTTACATTGAATTCTATTTCACTTCCCAAGAATAATACATTCCAATTAGAGAAAATCGAAACAGTTTTCAAAGTATCGATCATCGATACTTTACTTTTGGTATAAACGCGACCTTCATAAATCCCAGAAGAATTGGCAACTACGTAATATCGAATTCCATACATACACATCATGCGGTTACTCACGGTACACAAAACACACAAAGACTTTACAATTCAAGGTCTAAACAAGAAGTAACAACTAAGTACATGGTTATTTCTTCGGTTTTAAAAATGAATCTGACCATGACCATATATTTAATCACAAGAAGTGGAGTAAAAATAGTTTTTCATCAATAATTCAACAACTTCTGTTATAACCATTTTCTCAACAGTGTCAAAGTGATCTGGACCACCTACTCCGCATAAATGAGGAGCAAAGACTCCGAAACCGGCTTGTAGGTGCGATTGCCAAGTGCGAAATTCCCATTTCTCCCTCTCTCTTTCTCTCTAATAATAAAAAATAAAGTATTCATGTAATAATTTCATTAAATGATTCAAAACAAAAGACGTCATTTCGCGGAATGAAAGACTCAACTAGACATACAAAGTGAAAGTAATTAATTGATGACTGACCATGTGAGGTTTTTAATTGAATGACTGGGCGAATGGAAGCGATAACATCTAACATTGAAAAATTGCTCGTGTTCATTGGACACGATAAAAAAGACGTCAAAAAAGGCAGCTAATAGCTTTATTGATTGCTGTATCACAATTCAGAATGAGTAACTGATTTGGAAATCAGACTACTAAGAGCCATTCTCGATTAGATGGGCTGAACAGTTAGATGGTTAGCACACAGATGACGCTACTAGCATTAAATCCATATGATTTTTAGTTAACCTTAACTGCCAGAAGACACGTATACACATTTCACAGCAGTCGGACTATTAGTTTATGGGATAGAACATTTTGAGTGAAGCAATTTTTGTTAGTTGGAAGAAAATTGATATTTTGTGATGTGTTGATGAAATATTGCTTTCTGGCGAAGAAAATAATACTGTTGAAACCAAGTTTTGGCTTGATGAATGAACATTATTTGGTTATTAATGAATAAACATTATTGTTTCTGTAACATCAAAAAAAATCCACAAAATAATTTTGTATGACCGCAAAGTGGAATTGAACGAGATAGTTGGGGCTCTAAATATATCAAACTACTAACGTGTTTAACACATCGTTCATGAATATTTGGGTATGCGAAAGCACTGTTCAAAGTGAGTTCCACGCTAGCTCATAATCGACCAAGATTAGATTGTCGGGGAGCTAACCCATGGCCTAATTCACTGCGACCTTCTCAGATCTATTGTGATGATCCTTGGTTGTTGGAGCTCATTGTCTAGCTTGATCTCTTTGATGAGACTTCATAGCCTTGACACTAACCTCTTCATATATCATATAGCTTCATATAGCAACCAAATGTATCCTGAATTGACACAAATGAACGAGAGGAAGTTTGTAAGATTACAAAATAATTTCCTTAACTATGGCTCCATGNTTCTGACAATGATTTGATAACTTTGTTCATGTGTATAATAAATAATTTCATAAGAACTTCGTTTGATGATGCCACCGACCCACAATCCACACCAAACAGTGACTTTTTCGGGATGCATCGGTAGCTCTTGAAATGCTTGTGGCTGGTCTTCACTCCAGATGTGGCAATTTTGCCTGTTAACGTATCCATTCAACAAAAAATGAGCCTCGTCACTGAACACAATTTTTCGATAAAAATGTGGATCTTTCTTTAACTTTGCCAACGCCCAATCACCAAATGTTGGACGTTGTGGGAGGTCGTGTGGCTTCAATTATTGCGCCAGCTGTATTTTAAAAGGTTTCACACCAAAATCGTTTCGCAAAATTTTCCACGTAGTGGAATAACAGAGGCTCAATTGCTCCGAACGGCGGCGAATCGACATTTCACGGTCATCACGAACACTGGCGGATACAGTCGCAATATCGTCTTCGGTTCTCACTCTACGTATGCGTGTTGGTGGTTTAATGTTCAATAATGTAAACCGGGTTCAAAATTTAGTAACAAGATCTAGAATAGCTCTCTCAGTAGGCCGACGAAACGGCCCATAAATTGGAAGGAGTGCACGATACACTTTCTTCACCGAGAATGAATTTTGATAATAAATTTCAATAATTTGCAAGTGTTGTTCATTCGTAAGTCGATTCATGGTTAAATTAGATACCAAACTGAACAAGTTTGACAATCCCAATTTTGTGTCTGAATCGGACGACGATAAGAATTACGTCGCTTATATTCAAAATATTTCGTTTGACGTAAACTAGAAGAGCGAAATACTGACTAGTTCTCATTCTTGTTTTATTCCATTCAATTCTTCTCGAAACTTCAATAATTTGTGAGGTTGTAGTAAAAAACAAATAACGTTCTAAAATAAATTGGGGACAGGTGGAAAGAGTTGGTCCGATACTCAGTTTTGTATATTTATATCGGAAACCGTAATGGACTGGGAAAACCATTTGACACACTATTCAGTATATAAACTGGAACGCTGCCAGAAAGCCTTTCTATAACGTTGAGTGAACTATGGCAACGGAAATAAGTTGTTCAGACCTGAATAGCTGAATCAAAATTTGTGATCATGTCGCCAACTAACGTGAGTACGAAAGCCTAGTTGATTTGACTACAGCACAAATCAAATCATGCTCTTTAGCCTCAAAACAGACTTCAGTTTCGACGATTACCCACCAGCGCTAAATTTCTTTCCAGCGAGCATCCTCTTGAGGTCTGAAAACAGGAAAAAGTCACTGGGGGCCAGATCTGGAAAATACGGTGGATGCGGAAGTAATCTGAAGCCCAACTCATGCAATTTTGCCATCGTTTTCATTGATTTGTGTGTGTAATAGTTGCTGTCGATGGTTTTTCCCTTTTCAAGATAGTTTATGAATAATTATACCATACGTACATTTTTTTCAAACTAAGAAAAGTTGCTTCACTCAAAATGTTGTATCCCACAAGTTAATAGTCCGACAGCTGTGAAATTTGTACACGTGACTTTTGAAGGTTAGGGTTAACTAAAAATCATTTGGATTCGATCTGTGTGTTAGCCTACCCATTTTTCAGGCCACCTAATACATACTGCCCAATCTACTGAAGAAAATATTATCTTGTTGGTTAGGTAAAAAGATTGATTATAGTATAAAAATTTTCAATTGAAGATAACTCATATACAAATTGAACTGAGAGCTAACGGCAACAATGTTAAATGTTAGAACCAATAATTGAAAAGTAAGATGATTCCATAAAATTTGCCCCCCGCAACAAGATAGCTTCTAGATCCTAGAG